CCCCAAACTACCGTCCCCCCCTCACGTCCAGACCGCGGCCTGTGTTTACCTTCCGCTCCCCACACCGCCTCCACGGCCCGGACACACCGGAAACGGAAGTGCCCGACGACGGCCCCGCCCGCCTCCTTCTGCCGTACAACATGGCGGCCCCCTGCGCCCCGCCACCGCTCGACGTTTCCGCCGCCCGCCCGGTGCCCGGCGGCCTCAGACCGGGCGCGGAGGAGAGTTCTGGAGAGCGAGAAGCCGCCGCTCTCGGTCTGATCCCGCTCCTCCTCACGGCGGGGCGGGGAAAGGGCGGAGGGAGAGGAAGGCGAGGCCGCCGCCATCTTGTGTTACGGCGCCGCCGCCCCTCAAGATGGCGGCCGCGTCCTAGAACCCCCGTTGAAGGCGGGCAGAGGCCGAAATGGGGCCTGTAGGCCCCTATGGGCACCTATAGACACGTGTGTGTGCACAGACACCCCCTACGGACACACGGGCAGCTGTATGTACACACACCTGTGTGTACACAGCCCCTGGGGTGTGGCTATAGGGGCTACACGCATGTACATGTGTGTGGGGGTGTGTGTGTGTACCTGCACATGCATGTGCACGCACATATAAACTCACCTATGCACATGTAGACGTGTACGTAGTCACAGTAGGCACATACACACACATACATGCACACAGATGTGTATACAAGCGTATATACACACCCATATATGTGTATATACATTGATATGCACATATAGACACTCATGCACACGTGTGTACACACATATTGGCATATATCTACACACCAAACACGCATATACACACGCAGACACACATATACACACCCATATACTCATAGGTAAGGTCATAAACACACACACATGCTATACGTGCACATATATACACACCCAAATCCACACACCTATATGTGCACACACACATATGCACACATAAATACTCACCTATACACGTGTATGCACATATATTCATACTCCCATGGACATATAGACACGTATGCACACCCATAAACACACCCACGCACACATATATACATACAAACACATATATACTCACCTATATACATATATTCCCCCCATATGCACATATACACACATACACATGCGTATGTACTCACCTAAACACACGGATACATGTATGTTCACACCCATACACATGTATGTACACATACACGTGTATATGGACATATATATACACCCATACACATGTATACACACGCGTATGTACTCCCATACACACGCGTGCACACATATACACACACACAACCCTATACATGTGGAGACACGTATGTTCACACCCATAGACACCCCTATATGCACCCCTATTCTGGGGGGGGCTGAAAACACCACCCCCACCCCCACCAGAGGATTTTGGGGCGACTTTAGGGAATTTCCAACCTGTGCTGAAGGAAACGGGGCCACAAGGTGGAATTGAGTCATTTTGGGGTGAAAAAAAAACCAAATTGGGGTCTGCTCTTCCCTTCACGGCATCAACGTGCGACCGTGGGGGCCGGAAAATTGAGGGGAGGGGGAATCATAGGAGGGGGGAATAACCTGGGGTTTGATCCCACTTTGGGGTTAATTTCTATTAATAAAATCCTCGATGAAATTCTATAAAGCGGGGAGGGGTCCATCCCTCTGGGCTTTTGGGGGTGCAAAGTGATGGAGAAACCTCTGGGGACCCCAAAAAACGCTCCCCCCCCCCCGCCCTGGGGGGCTGAAGTGTGGGGGTTGCCCCCATTTTCCATGTGGATTGGGATGGGGGGAGGTTTCACATCCCCCCCCAAACCCCACTTTTTCCCCCAACTGTGGGGTCTGCAGGAGCTCTGGTGAGACCCTGGGGGGCTCAGGGTTGCCCTGGGACCCCTTCACCCCCCCCCCAAATCCACCCCCCAGCCGGCAGCTGAAGGTTTGTGCTGTTTTTGGGTGGGATGGGGTTAATTTTCTCCCGGCGGTTGCCGAGTTTCCCAGCTGGGATGACAGGAATGTCAATAACGCATATTGTTTTAGTTGTTGCTAGGCGATGTTTATACTATTCAAGGACACTTTTCCAGCTTCCTATGGAAACTGAGAGCAGAAAGGAGGGAACAACACCGCTCCACCAGCTGCCAGGAGGAAAATTAACCCCATCCCAGCCCAAACCAGGACAAAATTAACCCCAAATCAGACCCCCCAACCCCAATCTTCCTCAGCACCCCATTGATGTTTTTTTTTCTCTTTTTCCCCCAAAATCCATTTTTTAAGGGGAAATCCTAAAACCCTAGAGGAAAGCCGGGTGGTGGCTTTTGGGGTCATCCCCTTCTCCCAGTTTCGACTGGGACGGAGTGAATTTTCTCCCCAGTGTTTCCCAGCTGGGATGGAAGGGGCGTCCATAACGCGTATTGGTGGAGTCGTTGCTGGGCGATGTTTATATTATTTAAGCCCAGAGACCAAGGGAACAGCCAATGGGATATTCCATCCCACAGACGTCCTGCTTGGGATAAAAATGGGGGAAAATTGGGCAATTAACTCACCGGGGGATGAGAGTGGCTTGTGGCTTATTAATCTTATATATTCCTTTACCATAATTATAATTATTATTATTCCATTGTTCTTCTATTAAACTCTCTTTGTCTCAACCCATGAGTTTTATTTTTCCCCTCCTTTTCTCCCTCTTCTCCCTCCTCTTCTGGTGGGGAAGGAGAAGAACCGCGTGGTCCTTCAACCCCAACACCCCTTTAGGGTTGTCCCCTATTGGGGTTGTCCCCCCCAACCAGGGTTGTCCCCCCGGAGGTGACGGCCATGGAGGACGCTGCTGCACCTCTCGTCCCGCTCCCCACGGCCTGCGCTGGGGACACCGGGAAGAGGAACGGGGACAGCGTGGTCCCAGCGGGTGAGAGGCCCTGGGGGGGTGGGACGGTGGCTGAGGGGTGGCTTTGGTGGGGACAAGGGGCTGGGGGAACGTGGGGTTGGGGGTGCTTTGGCCCTAAGGAGGGTTCTTGTGCTGTGTCGGGTCCCCAAACCTTCTCCCACCACGTCCCAGTCCCTTCTCTGACCACGGTGTCCCCGTCCCTTTCTGCCACCATGTCCCCATGCCCTCTGCCATGTGTCCCCCACCCTTCTCCCACCATGACCCCCATCCCTTCTCGCCCCATGGCCCCAGCTCTTCTCCCCCCCCATCCCTCCCCTTCTCCCACCACATCCCCATCCCTTGTCCCACCATGTCCCCAACGCTTCCCAAGATCCCTTCCGCCTTCGAACTTTGATCTTCTTCTGGGACCACCTTGGTTGACCCTTTCCCTGTCCCTGCTCCATGTGAACCCTCTCCCAGCCGGAAAGGTCTCCTGGGGATCTTCTCTCTCCCCAACAGACTCGGGCTCAACCAATGAGGAGAAGAAACACCAGGAGGATGTTCCTCAGCAAGAGGATGAACCTGTGGAACCCCCAACCTCCAGCCAGCAGCTCTCCCCAGGGACCCATCCTGGGGGATCCCCGCTCCCAGGGGACAATGGAAGGGAAGAGGCACCCAACACTTGCCGGGAATGTGGGAAGAGCTTCCGTCAACGCTCGGCCTTGGTCAACCACCATCGGATCCACACGGGCGAACGCCCCTTCAGCTGCCAAGACTGTGGGCGCCGCTTCAACCGTCGCTCCAACCTCAACACCCACCGAAGGATCCACACCGGAGAGACACCCTTCACGTGTCCGGATTGTGGGAAGAGCTACCACGACAGCTCCAACCTCCGGCGCCATCAGAAGACCCACACGGACGAGCGGCCGCCCTTCACGTGTCCGGATTGTGGGAAGAGCTACCACGACAGCTCCAACCTCCGGCGCCATCAGAAGACCCACACAGACGAGCGGCCGTATCGGTGTGAGGAATGTGGGAAGAGCTTCAAGAACAGGTCCACCTTGACCATCCACCACCGCGTCCACTCGGGGGAGAAGCCCTACAAGTGCCCTGAGTGCCCCAAGAGCTTCAAGATCAGCGCAGAGCTGATGCGTCACGGGCGAGTCCACAGCAGCGAGAGGCCCTTCAAGTGCTCCGAGTGTCAGAAGAGCTTCAAGACCAGTCCAGAGCTGGTCCAGCACTGGAGGAGCCACACTGGCGAGAGGCCCTACCAGTGCTCCCAGTGCCACAAGAGCTTCAAGACCACCTCGGCGCTGGTGCAGCACCGGCGGACCCACGCCAGTGAGTGATCCCATGATTGCTCCCAACGCCGGCAGCGATTTGCCGACAAGACATCATGGATGGGACACGAGCTGTCAAACACCATCATCCCTCCCCAACCCTTGGGAAGAGCTTCTCCAACCATCCCAGGATCATCAAACGCCAATAGATGGACGCCGGTGGGAGAGATGAACATAGTCCTGACTGTGCACCGGCGGACCCACGCCAGTGAGTGATCCCATGATTGCTCCCAACACCAACAGTGATTTGCCGACAAGACATCATGGATGGGACACGAGCTGTCAAACACCATCATCCCTCCCCAACCCTTGGGAAGAGCTTCTCCAACCATCTCAGGATCATCAAACATCAATGAATGGACGCTGGTGGGAGAGATGAACATAGTCCTGACTGCGGCGGAGGCTTCAACCATCACTCCAACCACCACCTGGAGCAGAAACCCTACATTTGCCTGGTTTGCCCCAAAAACTTCACTTCCATCCCCCAACTCATCCAGTGTTGGAAGATCCATATCAAGGAGGAGCCTCAGGGTTGTGGGAGAAATTTTCGGCTCCACTCTCATCTCATCTCCCGTCACAAAAGCCACCGGCCGAAGATGGGGACCACCCCAGTCTCATCTCATCTCCCGTCACAAAAGCCACCAGCCAAAGATGGGGACCACCCCAGTGGGGACCAACCCCATCCTGGTGGCATCTCAGAACATCCCAGTAGTCTCTGGTGGTCACATCAAGGGCTAACCAACCCATCCACACACATCCCACCACTACTATTTTTCTTTCCTGATGTGTTTTTATACAGAATGTGGGTTTGGGGGGAATAACACACATCCCACCACTACTATTTTTCTTTCCCGATATGTTTTCATATAAAATGTGGGGTTTGGGGGATAACTTTTATTAAAAGCCACCCCCATCCTCTGTTTTTTTTTGCCTTAGATTCGAGATGGGGAGAAGGGAGGGAGGGGAGACCCATGAGCTTCGTCCGAGAAAAAAGAAATCATGGTAAAATGGGGTGTAATCATGGTAAAATGAGATGTTTCTCAATGTCTCAGTTGAATTTCTTGACGTTTTCAACCCTATTTAGGATCTTTCCAAAGGATGGGGCTGGATTGAAAGAAAATTATGTCCAGAATAAAAGCTTTTTTGTGTTGCCCTTGTGTGAGTATCTCTGTGGTGGGGATGAAGCAGGGGCTGTGGGGGTGGAAGAGTCTTTCTTGGAGGGGGAAACAAAAAAAAAAATCCCCAATTTTGGGTGGGCCGGGAGCATCTTCTGCGCCTGGAGGGTCTGGGACCTCCCAGGAAGCAGACATTGGGTTGTGGGGCTGGGGTGGAGTCCCTGGAGCTGGATCTTTAGTGGTAGAGTAGGTTGTTCCCCAAGCACCCAGACCCCTGAGCTGGAAGACAGGGGTTAAGAGCAGAATGAAGCTCAAAGGGAGATGGTGAGGGACCTGCCCGACCACCTGGACACACACACAAGTCTACGGGGCCAGATGGGATCCACCCAAGGGTGCTGAGGGAGCTGGTGGAGGTGCTCACCGAGCCACTTTCCAGCAGTCCTGGCAAACTGGGGAGGTCCCAGGGGACTGGAGATTGGAAAATCATAGAATCGTGGAATGGTTTGGATTGAAAGGGACCTTAAAGACCACCCAGTTCCACCCCGCTGCCCTGGGCAGGGACACCTCCAGGGATGGGTCAGCCACAGCTTCTCTGGGCAACCTGGGCCAGGCTCTCAACACCCTCATTTCTTCCCAATATCTCATCTCAATCTCCCCTCTTTCAGTGTCAAACCCTTCACCCTCATCCCATGGCTCCCCTCCCTGATGAAGAGTCCCTTCCCAGCTTTTCTGGAGCCCCTTTAGGAACTGGAAGGGGCTCGAAGGTCTCCCCGGAGCCTTCTCTTCTCCAGGCTGAACCTCCCCAACTCTCTCAGCCTGTCCTCACAGCAGAGGGGCTCCAGCCCTCCCAACATCTCCATGGCTTCCTCTGGCCCCTGCTCCAATGTCACTCATCCTAAATCCCATCATGGTGCACATGAAGGACAACCAGGCCATGAGGCCTACTTCATGAAAGGCAGGTTCCTTCTATGGTGACCCACTCGGTGGATGAGGGAAAGGCTGTAGATGTTGTTTACCTGGACTTTAGTAAGGCCTTTGATAGGGTTTGAGGGGATGGAGTGCACCCTCAGAACGTTTGTAGGTGACACCACGTTGGGTGGCATGTTGATGACGGATCTATACAGGGGTCTGGACAGGCTGGATCCATGGGGCCATGGCTAACTGGGGAGGTCCCAGTTGACTGGAGGTTGGCCAATGTGACGCCCATCTACAAGGAGGAGGATCTGAGGAACTACAGATTCTACATGGTTTGGGGCTGGGGAGGACCATTGGCACCAACGAAACCTCAACCATGGGTTGGTTTGAACCCTCAGTCTCATCCAAGGGAAATGGAGAGGGATGGAGAGCCCCATCCCAGCTCCAGGGTCTCTACCCTGGCCCCACCACCACCCAACGCCGCTTCCTGGGGGGGTCTCACGCCCTCTGGGCACAAATGATCCTCCCAGCCGACCCAAAATTGGGGAAATTTTTGCATTTTCCCCTCCAAAAAGGCTCTTCCACCCCCATGGGCCCTGCTTTGTCCCCACCACAGAGATACTCACACGAAGCCAACACACAAAGGCTTTTATTTTGACCTTGATTTTCTTTTGATCCAGCCCCATCCCTTAAGAAAACCCTAAATGGGGTTGAAAACATCAAGAAATTGAACCGAGACACTGAGAAACACCCAATTTTACTGTGATTACACCCCGTTTTATCATGATCTCTCTTGTCTCAGGCGAAGCTCATGGGTCTCCCCTCCCTCCCTTCCCCCCATCTCAAATATAAAGACAAAAAAAAACAGAGGATGGGGGTGACTTTTTAAAAAATCATTCCCCCAAAACCCACATTTTGTATCAAAACATATCAGGAAAGAAAAACAGTAGTGGTAGGATGCGTGTGGATGGGTTGGTTAGCCCTTGATGCGACCACCAGAGACCACCGGGATGTGTCTGAGATGCCACCAGGATGGGGCTGGTCTCTGCTGGGGTGGTCCCCATCTTCACCCGGTGGCTTTTGCTGTGGGAGGCAAGATGAAAGTGGAGCCAAAAAGCTCTTCCCCACAACCCTGAGGCTTCTCCTCACTGTGGATCTTCCGGTGGTGGATGAGTTGGGGACTGGATGTGAAGTTTTTGGGGCAAATGCAGGGCTTCTGCTCCAGGTGGGACCAGTGGTGGTTGGAGTGATGGATGAAACCTCTCCCACAGTTGGGAGAATTTTAATTATTGACACCAGGATGAGCACGTTGGTGCTTGGAGACCCCGGGATGGTTGGAGAAGCTCTTCCCAAGGGTTGGAGAGGGATGATTGTCCTACACAACGTGTGTCCGTTGATGCCGGGCCAGCTGGGAGCTGTCGGCAAATCGCCGCCCGCACTGGGAGCAGTCGTAGGGCCTCTCACCAGTGTGGGTCTGCCAGTGCCGCACTAGGCCCGAGCTCTTCGTGAAGCTCTTGTGGCACTGGGGACACTGGTAGGGCCTCTCACCAGTGTGGGTCCTCCAGTGCTGGGCCAGCTGGGAGGTGTTGCGGAAGCACCGGCCGCACTGGGAGCAGTCGTAGGGCCGCTCGCCGGTGTGGGTCCACCAGTGCTGGACCAGGCCCGAGCTGTTGGTGAAGCTCTTGGGGCACTGGGAGCACTGGTAGGGCTTCTCCCCCGAGTGGACGCGGTGGTGGATGGTCAAGGTGGACTTGTGCCTGAAGCTCTTCCCGCAGTCGGGGCACTTGTAGGGCTTCTCGCTGGTGTGGGTCCGGCGGTGGGTGATGAGGCTGGAGCGGTGTGGACGCGGTGGTGGATGGTCAAGGTGGACTTGTGCCTGAAGCTCTTCCCGCAGTCCTGGCAGCGGTAGGGCCGCTCGTCCGTGTGGGTCTTGCGATGGCGCCGGAGGTTGTTGCTGATGCGGTAGCTCTTCCCGCAGTCGGGGCACTTGTAGGGCTTCTCGCTGGTGTGGGTCCGGCGGTGGGTGATGAGGCTGGAGCGGTGGTTGAAGCGGCGCCCACAGTCCTGGCAGCTGAAGGGGCGTTCGCCCGTGTGGATCCGATGGTGGTCCACCAAGGCCGAACGTTGACGGAAGCTCTTCCCACATTCCCGGCAGGTGTTGGGTGCCTCTTCCCTCCTGTTGTCCCCTGGGAGTGGGGATCCCCCGGGATGGGTCATTTGGGGCTGGCTGGAGGTTGGGGGTTCCACTTGCTCAGGAGCATCCTCCTGGTGTTTCTCCTCCTCCTTGATTGACCCCACATCTGTTAAGGAGAGGGAACATCTCCAGGAGCTCTCTCCAGCTGGGAGAGGGTTGACATATTCCCGGCAGGTGTTGGGTGCCTCTTCCCTCCTGTTGTCCCCTGGGAGTGGGGATCCCCCGGGATGGGTCATTTGGGGCTGGCTGGAGGTTGGGGGTTCCACTTGCTCAGGAGCATCCTCCTGGTGTTTCTCCTCCTCCTTGATTGACCCCACATCTGTTAAGGAGAGGGAACATCTCCAGGAGCTCTCTCCAGCTGGGAGAGGGTTGACATGGAGCAGGGATGGGGGACCAGAGGGGTTATGGGAAAGGGGAGGCCAAGAGCCAGATGGTCCCAACAGAAGATCAAGGCTCCAAGGCTGAAGGCATCTTAAGAAGGGTTGGGGACATGGTGGGACAAGGGATGGGGATGTGGTGGTAGAAGAGATGGGGTCACAGTGGGAGAAGGGATGGGGACATGGTGGGAGAAGGGATGGGGACATGGTGGAAAGGGGACGGTGTCACGATTGGAAATGGATGGGGTCACCACTGGGAGAAGGTTTGGGGTCATAGTGGGAGAAGGGATGGGGACACGATGGGAGAAGGGGTGGGGACATGGTGGAAAGGGGAAGGAGTCACGATTGGAAATGGATGGGGTCACCACTGGGAGAAGGTTTGGGGTCATAGTGGGAGAAGGGATGGGGACACGATGGGAGAAGGGGTGGGGACATGGTGGAAAGGGGAAGGAGTCACGATTGGAAATGGATGGGGTCACCACTGGGAGAAGGTTTGGGGTCATAGTGGGAGAAGGGATGGGGACATGGTGGCAGAAGGTTTGGGGTCACCACTGGGAGAAGGTTTGGAGTCATAGTGGGAGAAGGGATGGGGACATGGTGGCAGAAGGTTTGGGGTCACCATGGAAGAAGGTTTTGGGTCATGATGGGAGAAGGTTTGGGGACCAGACACATCACAAGGACCCTCCTTAGGACCAAAGCACCCCCAACCCCACGTTCCCCCAGCCCCTTGTCCCCACCAAAGCCACCCCTCAGCCACCGTCCCACCCCCCCGGGGCCTCTCACCCGCTGGGACCACGCTGTCCCCGTTCCTCTTCCCGGTGTCCCCAGCGCAGGCCGTGGGGAGCGGGACGAGAGGTGCAGCAGCGTCCTCCATGGCCGTCACCTCCGTGGGGACAACCCTGGTTGGGGGGGACAACCCCAAACGCCGTCACCCCACTGTTCCCCGGGGTTGAATTTCCCCTAAAAAAGGGATTTATGTGAAAAATTATGGGGGAAATGGAGGGTTCTGAGTGGATTTGGGGGGGTCTTGACCCACCATGGGACGTCACGGGGGTGCAGGAGCTGGGGATGAGGACCCCCTCCTGGGGGGGAGTCCTGGTTTGGGCTGGGAAGGGGTTAATTTTGTGCTGGTTTGGGCTGGGAAGGGGTTAATTTTCCTCCTGGCAGTTGGTGGGTCTGTGGGGGGAGGGGGAGCGATAATCTTAATTAGTCATTTAATATTAGAGAAGAGCTGAAACACACCCCAGCTGGCAACTGGGAGCCCGAAACTGGTCTTGCCCCCCTCCCCCCCCCCACAGTGGGGTGGGGGGAAAATTTATAAAAACATAACTTTTGGGTTGAGATAAAGAGATTTTAGAAGAACAGGAACGGAAGAAAAAGATTTAAATAACAATAATAATAATGGTGAAAAAATAGAGAAAATGAGTGATGAAGTGCAATTACTCACCCCCCCGGGGATGGGGTGCAGAGATGGGGGGATCCCAGTGCCCCCCCCCCTCAGTGACCCCCGTTTCTGTCCTGGTTTTGGGGCGGAATCAGGGAAGCTGAAAAAAAAAAGAAGTCCTTGCCCAAGGTAAACATCACCCGGCAACAACTAAAAACATCCCCGATAATGAAATTCCTCCCATACCAGACCCCAAACTGGGAAAAAATTAACTCCCTCCCAGCCCAAACCAGTAAAAAAAAGGACGTAGGAACTGGAAATTTGCTGCTTTGAACATCCCGAGGATATTCCAAACCGGAGCCGGCCCTGAGGGGAAGGGGAAGGGGAAAGGGAAGGAGAGGGGGGAAAAGTGTCTCCCCCTCACCCCGAGATTGGACAAAAGGAGAGAAAAGGTGAAAAAAAAAGTAATTATTAATAATTTTCTGAATTTTTCGATGCCCAGAAAAATTCTCAGAGAATTCCCAACCGGGATATTCCAAACCAGAGCCAGTCCTGAGGAGAAGGGGAAGGGGAAGGAGAGGGGGGGAAAGTGTTCACCCTTCCCGAGATAAATGGAGAAAAGGTGAAAAAAATTGAATTATTAATAGTTTCCGAATTTTCCGATGCCCAGGAAAATTCCCAAGTGGGAATTTCATCCCATCCCAAGCGGAGAAGAAGCCTCATCCGGGCCCCAGGGGTGAGAAACCAAGGGAATAAACACGGCGTGGACACAATTCAAGGTTAATTCACATTAATTCCACAATAAATCAATGTTTCAAGCAGCGATTGTTAAATTAATGCAATAAATGGTGATAAATAATTTGGTTTTAAGACGCGCTGCTCAGATCTGTCGTTATCTCGAGCCCGGAATGAGGGGGGGATAGGGGGGGAGAGAACGGAGAAGGAAAAGGCGGAGATAAAAGCACTTTAACGGGGCAGGAAAGGAAGAAAATCCAAATAATGACGATTTTAAAAAAAATAAATATATATATAGAAAATAAGTGACACGTAATAATAAAATAAGCGCCCCCAAAACCTCTCACCGCCCGAAAACGATGCTCAGCCAATTCTCAGCCGCGATCGGCCCCTGCTGATTCTTGCCCCACCCCAGGTTAATTAGGGTAATTAGGGTAATCAA